GTGATTCAAGTTGTTGAGCAACTTTTCATGTGCTTATTTGCTATTTATGTATCCTATTTAGTGAATTTTGTGTTCAGATCTTTTGGCCAGTTATTTTTATTGCTTCTTGCTTTTCACCATTGAATTTTGAGAATTTGTTATATATTCTGAATGCTATTTGTTCAATATATGTTTTGCTAATATTTTCTTTTAGTTTATGGCTTGTCTTTTCATTTTAATAGTCTTTCAAAACTCAGAAGTTCTTAATTTCAATTAACTTTTTTATTTAAGAGTACTGTTTTGGGTGTTATGCCTATGAAATCTTTGCTGAACTCATGTCACAAAGTTTTTCTCCTATGTTTACTTCTAGAAATTTGATGCATTTTAATATTTAGATCAATAATCCATTTTGAGTTATTTTTTGTCTACATTGCAAGGTATTTGACGAAGTTCAATATCCTTATATAAGGTGATCCCTGCATTTGTTGAAGACTATTCTTTCTCAACTGAATTACCTTTGCAATTTTGTAGAAAACAAATCAAGAGTATTTAGTGGGTCTATCTCCAAACTCTTCTCAGTTCTTTGACTCACGTGTTTATCCTTTTGCTAATACCACACTGACATGTCTATCTCAGCTTTGTAATAAGCCTTGGAAGCTGGTAGTGGGAGCACCAATTTTGTTCTCTCCTTTTCAGAATAATTTGGGCTATTTTGTTCCTTTGAATTGCTGTTAAAATTTTGGAAATAGTTTGTCAATTCTTATTTTAAAATCCAGTGTGATTTTGACTCAAATTATATTTTTAAACCTATGTGTTCATTTTGGGAGAATTGACCTTATCACTTCATTGAGTCTTTCAGTTCATTTATTAATGCCTCCTTTAATCAGTGCTTCTCTCATGTGTTTTGTGATTTTGGCATACAGATCATGCATCTACTCTGTTAGATTGAAACATAATTATTTCAAGTGTTTTGGTGCTACTAAAATGGTCTGTGTTTAAATTTCAATTTCCAATTGTTCATTGCTAACATACAGACATGCACTTGATTTTATTTTATTATTATTTTTTTTAATGAATTTTTTTATTTATTTTTTTGTTACAGATATTTTACCTTTTTACCCCTTTGGCACGTGCACTTGATTTTAAAATACTGATTTGCTAATCTCACTTATCAGTTTTAGTAGTTTTATAGATTCCTTTGGATTTTTCCACTTAGACAATTAAGTTGTCTATGAATAGAGACAGTTATTTTTTTTAATTTTCAAGCTGTATGCCTTTTTTATTTCTTTTTTTTCTTCCATTATTGCACTATCTAGAGTGACTAATAGAAGTACTAATAGGGGACATTGCTATTTTGTTGCTGATTTTAGGGGAAAAAAACCATTCGGTCTTTCACCAATAAATATGTTAGCTGTAGGTATTTTGTAGATCTATTTTATCAGGTTGAGGAAGACTTCTTTTATTGCATGAATTAATATTGAATTGTATCAAATATTTGTTTTCTGCATCTAGTGAAATGATCATATGCTTTCCCTACATATGGTTTATTATACTGATTGATTTCTGACTCTTGAGCCAGTCTTCCATTTCCAGAATAAACCCCACATTTTGCCATTTTTAAATATTGCTGGTCTCACTTCGCAAATATATTTTTAGGATATTTATGTTTATGTTCATGAAGGATATTTGTCTATAGTTTTTATTTTTAATCCTCAACCAAGGATACTTTTTTTTGAAGGAAGGAGAGAGAGAGGGAGAAACATCAATGAGAGAGAGACACATTTGGTTGCCTCCTGCACAACCCCAACCAGGGCCAGGGATCGAACCCAAAATCGAGGTATGTGCCCTTGACTGGGAATCGAACCTGAGACTCTTCTGACCACGGGCCAACACTGTAACTGCTGAGCCAAACCAGCCAGGACTGTAGTTTTATTGTCTTATGATGACTTTGGTTTGATTTTTTGGGTAATGCTGCCTTCATAAAATGAGCTAGGAGGTGTCTCCAGAACTTCTTTATTGTAGAAGAAATTCTGTAAAATATTTATTATTTAGTCCTTAAATATTTGGTAGAATTCACCAATGAAACTTTCTAGGTCTGGAGTTTTCTTTGTTTGAAGAATTTTTTTTTTTTTTATCCTCACCCGAGGACATTTTTGCATTTATCTTCAGATAGAACGGGAGGGAGACAGGGAGGAAGAGAGAAAGAAAAACAATGATGTGAGAGAGTCACATCAACTGGCTGCCACCCACACAACCCGAACCTGGGCTGGGGACAAACTGCAACCGAGGTATGAGCCCTTAGCAGGAACCGTACCCACGTCTCTCTGGTCTGTGGGCCAATGCTCTAACCGCTAAGCCAAACCAGACAAGGCTGTTTAAAGAATTTTAACTACAAATTTAATTACTTTAATTATATTTTTCTTCCTAAGTGAGCTGGTACCTTTCCATTTTTTCTTTCTTTGTTTTTCTCAAACCCTTTCAGTTGAATTCCCACCAGGGAAACACAAACCAAGAATTTAACACCTGTGCATTAGCGGCTACAATAGCCACAGGAGGTTGTGATATCTCTCTTGCTTCTCAAAGGTGGTAGAAGCTAGCCTGTGAATGGCCGGAGCAGCCAGGGCCATTTCTCTCCTTTGGCCCCAAGGCAGTGGCAACCCCTCCCATGCACATGGACTTGGGACTTTGCTTTTGCCCTCAGCCCTTTTGGCCACCCCTACACTCAGCACTGCTCTCCCCACAGGACCAAGCAGAATGATGATTTGGGCCTCTGCGCCCAACAGTGGTGAAGTTTGAGTTCCTTCTAGAGTAAGCTGCTCATACCTGTATGCCTGAATTTTCCTGATTTTTCCAATGGAAGTCCAGGATGCCAGGAACCACCTCGATTCCAGAAAATTGGACAGTTGGTCACCGTCATCCCTATCCCACCAAACTGGCACAGTTCACTGAGCTTTATTCCAGAGCAGATGAGGCAGTAGTTGAAGGGAAGGGGCATTAGGGGCCTGCAGGGAAGTGGGAGGCTTCTCAATAGGAAGCAAGGCTGCCTGTCCCTCTCAATAAACAAACTCTCCAAAGCCCTCCATCGCCCTGTGGACAGTACTGAATTCAGCACTAGCGATCCTATGACTTAGCGGTCATGGTCATACCACCTTTCAGCTGGGGTCCAAGTGAACGTATGGAAGATAGAGTTGTGTGCATAGATGAGGAGACCTGAAAGAAAGCTTAGAATAGATCCAGGGGGGTTCCTCTTTCAACTTTTGGTGGAGATAGTTGGTTAGGATATGGTAAAAGAACTGTAAGGTTGTTTACCTTGACTGTCTCCCTCTGTGATTATCAGAATCACTGGTGCTCCAGAATTTTGCCATAAGAAGTTTAGAGGTCCTCCACAGGTATCCACCAATGTCCAGACTAAATTGTGTTGGTTGGGGTGAAGAATTAATAGGGGCTAAAGCCCTTATCCTCTGAGGAAAAGTGTTTAAGGGTTGTTATGTGACAACACTATGGAGAGGAGATAATCCAAATGTGTAGATTCATGAGGACAAAAGGCCATCCTTCCACCTCTCTTTTAGAGAGAGGAAGGCAAAGGGAGAAAGAGAGAGAGATAGAAACATCAATTGGTTGCCTCCCATATGCACCCTGTCTGGGGACATATGCTCTGACAGGATATGGAACCCATGACCTTTCAGTGTACAGGACAACACTCCAACCAACTGAGCCACAATGGCTGAGGCATGTATTCCCTCTCTTAGTGAATCTTTCCCCTCAGTATAAAACATACTCAGAAATCCCATTAATATGCAACAGCAAAAAACAATAGAAATAACATCAGCAAAATAAACTCCAAAACAAAACATCTTGACTATAACCTTCCTCTAGCTTTCACCCATATCTTTTAAGTCACAACCAAAATTCTGTAGGGAATAACATGAAGTCTAAACTTCATCTTAGCTTCTCACTTTCCATTCACTCTTAAATCTGCTGCAATTGATCTTGTATTAACAGAATTACACTGAAACAATTCACACAAAAGTCACTTAACTTTCATTTGACCTATTTTCTCCTCCTTTAAGTAATTTTTCAGTTGGGTGTCTATGCCATTCTGTAAAAATTTCAATTTCAGAAACCTCATGTAAAAATGAAGTAATCTAGAAGGGAATTTTATTATCTTACATAACTTAGTCACATGCCTTAATGAAGTCTGAAGTATGGTGTCCCCATGGCTGTTAATCACCAGTTCATACATCAAGGGCACTGTTGCTTTTCACTTTCCATTTTACCATGATGTCAAGGTTGTGTGCCTACTGGGGGGAGCAAGAGCAAAATCACAAATGCCAACATCCATTCAGAGTAGGGAAACTTTCTCCCCACACACCTTTCTTTAAGAACCTGAAAACTTTTGCTGGAAATATTTTTGTGGCCCCTAACAACACAGATCACATACTCACCTATAAACGATTCAAAACCAAGGGAGACAGGACACCCATTTTAATAGAGAATGTCCTATTTGGCCTTAGGACCCATGCCTACCTATATATGAATTAGTCTCATTGGCAAATAGACTATCATGTGGACCCAGACTAATCAGCATTTTTCTGGTTCATGTAGAAAAAGGATGGCAGAGTTCTGCCAGCAAGGAGGGAGGAGGACAATGTTTGTTGGCTGGACAACCAATAATGCCACCTGTATACTTTTTATTGGAGTTTCTGTTTCTTATAAAATTGTTTAGGCTCCCCATCTCTGATCATCCCTTTAATGTTCATATTAATAGAGTTGTTCAGGGACCCTCTCCAATCATTTTCTTCCCCAGTGCTTCACTCACATCTTAGGTCTGTTTACCAGCTATATGCAGGAAGAGATAATTTACCTGTGTTTGAACTGATACCTGCTTGAACAGACAAGAGAGCAAATCTAATTACCCCTCTGCAAACACACACGCACTCTCACACATGCAGACACACATTCACAGGCATACATCCACACAAACATGCACACAAGGACACACACAGACACATGGACTCGTTCCAAATCTTTACTTTTAGTTTGTAGCATCTGCTGAATTTACTCAGCATAACCATAGAAGTATTATCTTCATGCTGTCACACACAGACACAAACACAGACACAGCAACAATGTCCATATTTAGCCCGCGTGTTCCTCCTGAGGCTCATTTATATGTCTTCATATGCCACAGCCCATCATTTAAATAATGGATATTTTCAATACCAATCCCTTTGTTGACCTTCTCAACATCTTCCGCAGACATCTTCATAACTCCCACACACAGAGCATGCTGTTTTCCTTCTGCCATGATTGCAACAACCGTATCCACTGCAGCAGGGTAAAGCTTGGCTCCGGGAGAGGTTAAGCCTGGACACATGATATTTGCTCCACTGAGCACAAATTTGATAGCTCCTTTATCAACTTGCTGTCGTGGCAGGATAAAAGGGTATTTGTGTAGTAGCCTCAGCGTTGGATAAAAAGGCCCTTCCCTTTGTCGAAAAAACAGTAACTCTCCGTTTACTGTAAGGATTTCTATATGTTCATGGCACCGCACTATTTTGACCGGATCTTTCTTAGGCATGATTTGATTAAGCCACGGTTCAATGCCCGGAAACTGCTCTATCAACTGGTTCTTAATACCCTTAATAACTGACGTCTTCAACTGGATGCAGTTGGACACATTTTCTTTCTCATCGAATTTCTTGAACATGATCCAAGGTGACGGGGGCGACAGCAGGGAAAGGCCCGAACCAGGAAAGCAGTGAACTCGCGAGGGGCGGCAGCGGCGCTTACCCGAGGAGGCGGCGGAGACGGCGGCGTGGCGACGGCGAACCGGAAAGGAGCGTGCTTTACGGCTCGCCGCAAACCGACTTCCGTTCCCAGGGACGCCGCGGGCTTTCGCGGGCTGTTTTGCGCCGCGTTTTCCGTTCGACCACGGTCGGTACGAGGGCGGGGCTGGAGAGGGAAGAAGAGTTGGAGCAGTCCCTCTGGTTTCAGGGGCCTGTCTTTTATGTTTATTATTGGGCAGCCGAATCATCCTCCAGCTACCCAAGCCAGAAAGCAGGGGCGACTCCTGGCTGATACGCCTCTCCTACTCCCCGCGTCACGACGGGGGGTCGAGTCCTGGTCATCGGTCGTCTTCCACGGGTCTCAGGATCTTCCACCGCCCTCAGGCTGTCCGACTTTGTTGCGCTCAGGGCCCTATGACTGCGAGCAGTTGCTGCCTCTCACCGCTGCCTGCAACCTTGTCCCTTCCCAGCTCTCACCACCTGCACCCAGAGAGGAGAGGGTTCCTGACCAGGAGGGATGCAAATGTTGTTAGATTCCAATCGTGTTAAACATATCCAAACTCATTTTACGGCCCAGAATACGGTTTGTCTTGGTGAGTGTTCTGGGTGCTCCTGAAAAGAGAGTGCATTCTGCTTTGTTTGGGTCAGTGCTCTGTACAAGCCCCTAATGCCCCATTGGTGAAGGGAGTTGTTCAGGTGTTCGCTCCCCTTAGTGATTTGCTGCCTACTTGTTAACATCAGTCACTGATCAGCATATTGAAATTATTTGTGGATCTATTTCTCTTTTCAGTTAGTTCTATCAGCTTTGGAGTCATACATTTTGAAGCTCCATTTATTAGGTCTGTACCCATTTAAGGTTAGTATGGAAGGCACCCTGTTGATTAGGATTTTATTCATATAGATTTTACCTGTCATCCTAAGAAGTGAGAGGTCAATGAGGACAGGAGTTGTTATTTTATCTCTTTCACCTAGCACAAGATCTGTCTTCATACTACATGCTACATACACACTAAATGCCTGATAAATGAATAAAGGAATCCTTCCTCTTCCCCAGGGTCTGGCCCCTTTCTTTCCCTGCCAGTGCTGTGTGAAAGAATAAAGGTGAATCCTTGCTATCTGGACACTTCTCCTCCCCAATAAACACATGCTTCATCGGGGAAGTGTACTGCAACAGGAGTTAGAACGAGTGCTGGATATACAGTGGAAAGATAACATACATTTTCCCATTCTTGAGAGCTTATAGCACATGAGGGGTCATGTGTAATCTCCCCATTCTCAAGACAAAAGTCTATATTAGTCTGGGTTCTCCCACACTAGCCACATGTGTGTGTGTGTGTGTGTGTGTGTGTGTGTGTGTGTGAATTACGTATACGAAATTGACTCACACGATTATGGAGGCTGAGATGTCCCAACATCAACAGTCAAGCTGAAGAGTCAAGAGAGCCAGTGGTATCATTCAGTCTGAGTCTGAAGGCCTGAGAACCAGGAGAGCTAATGGTATAAATTCTAGTCTGAATTCAAGTCAAAAGAAGACCAGTGTCCCAACTCAAAAGCTGTCAGGCAGGAGGAATTCCGTCTTACTTAGGAAAGAGTCAGCTTTTTTATTCTATTCGGACCTTCAATTGGTTGGATGAGACCTGTCCACGTTAGAGAGGGCAATCTGCTTTACCAATTGACATGTTAATCTCATCCAGAAACACTCAAAATAATGTTTAACCAAATACCTGGACATCCTGTGGACCAGTCAAGTTGACACATAAAAATAACCATCACAAGGATACACTATATTAAAAGAGGTAGCATAGAATGGGGTGTTTATGTGTGCTGGCCCTAGAACCTAGGAAAGACTCCTGCTCTATCCCTTACTAGACTGGAATCCTGGAAGTTACTGAACTTTTCTGTGTTTCAGTTTATTCATCATGAATGTGTGATTAATAATACCCATCTCCTGGGGGTCGGGGTGAGAAGTGCTTGCATTACTATTTAGAACAGTTGGGTTTTAAGTGTTTCACATAACTACTATTAAATTAACATAAAAACAAGTTCCATGAATATTTTAATACTCTTTTCACACAGGAGATAGTGCAACTAGCCCCAGATTTGAGCTTTCCTATTCATGGCTGAGTTTCTGATCTGCCTCCCTGAGACTTCACTCCAGTCATTTTGAGCCTGTGAAGAGTCACCCATTTCCAGACGCATCTCTGGTTATTTTACAAGCAGCTAACCTTGCATGTTATGTATGGTTTTTTTGTGCTTACCTCTTATGTGATGATTCTTTTTCTTTCTTTCTTAGAGGCTGTCCCTTTGTTCTTATGTGTGAAGTTAGTACTGTGTCAGCAGCATAAACAGGATGTCATAGAAATTCAAGGGAGGAAAAGTCATTACTGCCCTAAATTAACCATGGTGACATGTCTGTAGAAGACTAATAGTTTAATCAGAAATTATCTGATTTGGGACTGGCTGTCAGAGAAATGCCCAAGGGATTTTTTTTTAATGAAGCTATTTTAGACAAAGGACTCGAAGTGTAGTCAGTGAAAAATCTTTTTGAAGTTAATAATCATTTCTATCTGAAATCATACTCAATTCTGTACAATGTAACTTTTTCTTGGTCCACAAGCATCTATTTTCTGTCTATCATGAAAGGGACACTAAGCTCTAGTTTCAGCATCTAAATTCTTTAATTGAAAAATGTAAAGACTCTATTTTTAGACTTCCTAAAAACTCACCTTCTCTAAAATGGGGCCTAGTTCATTTTTAAATTTTTTTTTTACCCTCACTTGAGGATATTTTTCCATTGATTTTTTTAGAGTGGAAGGGAGGGAGAGAGAGAAACATTAATGTGAGAGAGACATATCAATTGGCTGCCTCCAGTATAACCTCAACCAGGGCCAGGGATGGAACGTGCATCCAAGGTACATGCCCTTAACTGGGAATCGAATCCACAACCCTTTGGTCCAAAGGCCAGTGCTCTAACCACTAAGCCAAACCAGCCAGGGTGGGGCCTGGTTCTTAAACTTTATAGAAGAATCTAGGTCTTTGACATTAACATAATGGAAAAAATATTATACATAAATGTTGCTTAAACTAATATGTTAAAACTTTAAAGTATACTACCAAATTATTCTGGTTAAATAACTTAAAATCAATTCAAACAATTAACTATATAGATTTTCTTTCTAAGAAGGGAAGTTAAGACACCAACCTCAGTGTTTCAAGCCTAGGGTGTACCACTTCCTAAGTTTTATTAGTTTCCCTTAGTATTACATTATTTCTTCATGAAATCTGAATAATACTGTATATATTTCACAATGTGTATGGAGTGGTTATGAGAAATTAAAAAATACAGTATATAAAGGCCTTAGTAGTAGGGAACAGTACATTTAAAAGTGTTTGATTTATTTACTTATTTGCAAAACACCCTTCGTAAAGCAGTTATAAGGTCTAAGATTATACTATCTATGTAAACATTTTACAGAAAATTACTGTAGCGTTGGATAATTTACTAAGTCAAACAAGAGATGCCAGAAATCACTTTTATGTCTGTAATCTCAAGAGAGTATGTAATTGAGATAAAGTAATTGTTTGCAAAGTTAAAATGAGGAAACTGAGTGAGAATATTTCTCAGGTTCCTCAAATCTCCAAAATTTGAAGCCTATTCACAGACCTGGGTTGTATTAATATATTGTTTCAAATGTTTCACCTTAATACAGCTTTGTCTGCATTTTGAGAAATGACCACTAGAGGGCAGGAGAACCAAACCGAAGTCTACATGTGGTCCCCAACCTTGTCCTGCTACACTGTGCATTAGAAGGAATATTCTCAACTAACAGGTAACTATTTTTTTTATCATACAATTATTTTTCCTTGGTTGTATTTTATAAATAAATAAATCCATCTCTACAGAGTCACAAAATATTTCCCAAGCTTAGGTGAAGCACGTTCTAAATATAAGGTATTAATTTACAATTTGCCTATTTTCTCTGTATCTAGCTATAAATAATCAACAATAAAGTAATTGTTTTTAAATGATGTCTATAACAACACACTAGCCCTACATTTTTTACCCGCTCAAAGAAATATAAAAATATTTTTCTCACATTGCTTCAATTTATGAACTACTTTTGAAATTCAAAAAATTGTATGCAATTGTATATTTTAAAAATAACCTCACAACATCCAACATGTTTTTATGTCTTCTCCCTCATTGCTCCACTACCCAGGTAACACTGCTGAGTTTCTCATCTAGTCTAAAAATGTTCTCTGCATACTAAGCATGTAAATGGATAGTTAGAATGGGGTGGTGTGTGTGAGCACTCTGCACGCACCCTCGTGGGGATAGCCCGAAGCAATAGCCCCACATGGAAAGAGTAGGCAGGGGGTCCCAGGACATTAGGGGTTTTCATTCCCAAAGCAGCCCCACGGGAGAGTTGAGCCCTGAACTAGAAGGCAGGAACCCTCCCTTCCCATCTGGACACCCACCTCCTGGCTTGTGCCAATCCCTACCTCTCTTGGCCTCAGTTTCACAATTGTCCCATAAGGACTGGGCATGGAATGCGTGAGCCTAACTCAGCATGCACCCGGCCCCTGGGTGGCGGTGGCAGGACACATTTAGGGGTGCATGGCTTTCCTCCGCATGTGGACTCAGAGTGGAGCACCTAGCTCATGTCCATGGGGTGGTGGATCGTGTGTACACGAGATGCCACCTCGTGGCATGCACAATGTACCAATGGTTCTCAGCCTGGCCAGTACTGCTGGACCCCGGCAGCCACTGCTCTGACACCCCACGACCCCTGGAACCTTTGCGTGGCCCCACTCCAGCCAGTTGGGCCAGAGACCTGGGGACATGAGAGTCATGGAATACCTCCTGTCCCACTGTTCTTGTCCCCAGACTGTACCCCAGGGGCCACCTTCGTGCATGGCTAGGTCAGGGGGTCCTGGAGGTGACAGTGGACACAGAGTCCAGGCAGAGAGAAACTTAGGCCACTACTTCCCCTTCCTCTTCTATGCCCCCCTTCCTGTTTCCTCTAGCAGGACC